TTACGATTTGCTTATTCTGTATCCATTTTTGTCATATTAGTGCTATTACCCTTAAGTGCATCAGGTGGATTTTATTTAGCTATCTATCGACGATTAAAACAACGACCTTGTCAATTAAATGCTAGTAAAGAAGCAGAAAAACGTAAAAAGCGTACAACTAGTTTATTAGTAATAACAGTTGTTTGTTTTGCAGTCTGTTGGACACCATGGTGTTTATATTCATTATTATTAGAAGTACAAGCTTTATTAAATGTTGAAAATGATTTACCATCAGCAAGTACATATGATTTATTAAAATTTAATCGATTATTCAATTCAAGTCAACAAGCAATTCACAAAGAGGATGAAACATGGAAATACTCTATTGGTTTGAAAACATGTGAAGACTTTCTATGGTATACAATGAATCAATCACTACCTATTATGAATGGAAATTTTACAATGGATTCATCGATTGACTTAATGAAACCAAATATGAATATTATACCGGGGAGACACATAAAAATTATTGATCTTTTATTAAAATTATTTGCAATGGGTTCCGCCTGTGTCAATCCATTGTTGTATGGATGGTTAAATGAACCGATACGTGTAATAATGCGTAGACAATACAGTAGATTTGAAGGATGCTTTAAATGCTTTGAAATAAGCCGACGTCGTACAGACAATAAAAAACATATGAAAAATTATATAGAGGAACAAAATTTACAAAAAAGACCATTAACTAATACGTCTTGCTTTGATAAACACAAGTCAACATTATTATCATCATCATCATCCTCCAAATTTTTGAAACCTTCACATTTCATTAGATCCAATTCAGATTATGATACGAAACCAAAAGTGAAAACTGACAGACCGAAAATTGGTAGTAAGCAACTAAATGATGCTCGATCAGTGAGTTATGCTGAAGGAGATATTGATCTCAATAACAAAGACAATTTAAACCAAATAGTCGTAATAAAAAAGAATAAACTTGACTCTGATACTGGGATTTTAACAAACAATGATAATAATAATACGGTCGACAGCGATCGAGGCTAGTTTGAATTACTGCCACTAAAAAGACTTAAATTTAGAGGAAAACCACAAGTTAACAGATTATAAATGAATGTATTCGATTGTTAGAGTAAAACACCAAATTATTCAAATTTAATTCCTTAATTTTTTTCCAGACATAAAAGAGAACGTTCCACACTTCATATACAAAGAAACAGCGAATCTGTTAACTTTTATGTATCCAAGGATGACGAATAAGTAGATGGTAAGTGAATATAAACATGTGGATTTAAACACGTTCTTTTCACTTATTTAAAAAAGACTGAAGATAAGAATAACTCCATTTATGAGATGCTTCAGTCAGTGCAACTCATTGAAGATTAGGAAAACACCTGGTAAACATAACAAGAACGATCACGGTAAAATTCATGTACTACTGTAACAACTTCAAATTATATTGTTCGTTTGCATAAAATCCATTACCAAAGGGAAAAAAGGAAACAGTCTGATTCATAGAAAACCCAGGAGTGAAATACTTCAAAAATTCCATACAAAACTAAGAGTAATATAATTTGTGCACTCGTTGATCACTCTATAAATGTATGCCAACTGTAGTGGCTGAGATATATACAACGTATGCTTAGCCCCACCTACATTAAAATCAAAGTAGACTGGAAAACAGACTATTACCAGATCAAGTCATATCGCTGGTGTGTAAGTTAGCTGACGGTTTGCTTGGTTTCTGTATGAAAGTTCACACATTCTGGATATAATTTTGAAGTCCATCGCAACTTGTAGTCTACGGTTGCAAAATGACATGTCTAAAATTTATCTTAGTGAAATGGATAACATATCCTATATCTAAATAACAAATATAGGATATCTATAAACTAATAAGAAAAGCTTAAACTTATTGAAAAGTCCAATAAAAAACCACAATCGAAACTTAACGAAAACGAAGCACTGAAATTTATAACCCACATATTGATACAATTCAGCATTCATGTAATCAAGATAAAAGCAGTAAAACGTAAGAAGAGTAATAGAATCTTAGATACTGCTGAATACAATCTCTTTAAGAGACTTAATTTTTATACCACTACTACTCATGCATAAAATCAAGAGACAATACATAAATAATAAGCTTGAAAACACAGCGCAGAGGTTGTTCACACGCATTTGAAAGCCGTTTCGTCCTAGTGGTCTAGAGGTCGAACGGTCGTGCGAGACTAAAGGATCTAGGTTCAAGTCCCGCGTGCGGAGTTGTGAACGCACACTGTTGAGCAGTCCCATTACCAGAACGAAGCGGCCGTCCAGTGCTTCTGGATTTTTAATGATGGTCTAAAACCGATCGGCTAATGATTTTAATATATATATATATTGACATAAAGCCAATAATAATGAAAATAACACTATCTATTTGTGATTTAATTGTAGCATTTTGTGTAAGGCTTATTAAATGCTGATACATATTTGAGGATGACAGCTCAATGAACCAATCTACTAAATTCATCCTCTTGTTGTCTAGAGTAAGAAGTAATACACTGAACAGGCTCATATTAAAAAATATGGGCTAAGGAGAATAGAATATGTTAAACGTTTTTTATACCACTGCGTTGCAGCTTATCTTTAGACAAAACATTTAAGGAAATAAGATCACTGAATCAATTTGTCGCTAGTTTTTAACCACGAAAGTTCCTCATCTATACACAACTCAACAGTCAATGACTTCATCAACTAGTAGTGTCGGACCTCAGTTCAGTCACTCCCTGTACAACGCTAGAGAAAATTCAGTAATACACTACTGACAGATAATGTACAAAAATTCAAAATGTGTTTTAAGGTCAAAATTATGCTGTAGGTGATGAGAAAACTTGATATTCTTTTTATAACCTTACTCTCAGTAGTATTTCCAATTATCACTATTCATTTATTTATTTGACAGTTCTTCATTCTTAAATAAAAAAGGTCTACAAACAAATGCATAGCCAGATTATTAAGAGTAAATTGGGTCAATACGTAAATCATAATTTTTAAATCAAGTTTATATATATATATATATATATATATATATATATATACCGGTAAGTTGATATTAACATACTATAAAACTGTTAAGAGAGATTCCCTATATAAATTTGAGAACAAAAAAGGAGTAACAATTAGGGCAGAAAAACAATATGGATTTCATTGTAGTGTGAACTCTCATCAACTTCTTAAATCCTTCTTGGAATTGGTAAAATCCATCCAATGGAGTGAAATATGCCAGTAATACCTAATTAAATTTGATGACCGAAAATGCTTATGACTAAAAAAGTCATTATTATTAATAGTTATAATATTAGTAATGATAATTTATTTATTATGTACTGGGGTATGAGCCCCACGCTCTGTGAGCGCTAATATTAATATTTGGATACCTAAAATGAAGTGGGTGTAGAGGTGTTTTGGCCTGGCCTGGAAGTCGCACAACCTAACCATTAACTAACCACTTTACAAAAGTTTTTAACGGGGTTGTTCATGCACAGGTTCCCCAAGTAAAGTTTGCAGAGAATGTTAAACGAAACCAAGAAAACTTTCTTGCGGGGGAATACTGAATACATAGATTATGTGAAGATTGCCGATAATAATTCACTCGATGGGAACAAGAGTACTTAGAATTTGATGACGTAAGGATTAAATAGGCAGATGAACTAACAAAAGCTCCTCAATCATCTTAATGAAAACAGTAGTCAGTTAGTCAGCTAAAGCATAGGACAAGGCATATATATGTATACGTCCATACCTCATTAGCACGACAAAATTAACACTAAATTCATAGAAGTAGCTGCTTCAATGGTAGTAATATATAAAAAAGATTGTATATAAGAATATACAGGAAAAAACATTTACACCGAAAGTTCACAGCTCACCAGTGAATTTTCGGTGTAAAAATTTAAACAAAATGTAGTTGGGTTGCATTTTTTTAACGTGTGGACTTTTTAAAATGATGCTAAAACGTTGACAAGACGTATAGTGTCAGTTGAATGTTGAGATCCTCCGTTTTTTAATCTCTTTTTTTAGAACTTGTTCAGAGATTCGCACATGCACTCTCCTTTCTGTTCTTTTAATGTATTTTCACTCTGATACGCAGTCATGTATTAGCGATATAATATCCTGAGAGGAAATTCCAGGAGTTCTGTTGAGAGTTCAGACATGTCACGTGCAAGGCAGTCACCCACAAAAAACAATTGGAAATGATTGCGCAATGTCGTGAAATGATTGAGGTTGAACATTAACACCGTTGGATGCCACTTAGTGTTCTGAAGGTTAGGTGTTCGTGTGAAAAGTGGAATTTTTTGGATTCAAGTTCTGTGTGCGGGGTTATGGTTGAGTACTGATGACGTGGACCATGCTGGGACGAAACGGTCGTCCAGTACTTCTAAGTTTTGAATCATAATATTCTATCGATCGGTTCATTATTTCTATGAAACCCAACAACCTCTACAACTATAGACTTACAACGGATTTTAATTGTTTAATGAAGTAGTTAGTGAATACATAGTGAAATCAATAGTTGATGGACAAGTAATTTTTAGTAACTTAGTTGTTTCATTGAACTTATTATCTCTAAACATGGTGTGTAACAACTCTATCACCGCTAAACACCTACTATTCCACACTATACTACGCATTTTACAAGTACTTCCTCAAAGTTATTTTTTATTTGAATAGAAATAAAAATACATTAAAATTAATCATTAAAGTGGTCGATAAATGGGTTATTTTTGTTGGGATTTTAAAGATCCTAGATGAATTCAAATTGATAGCAACACTTTAGTTATCTCTAAGATCCCCATTATTATGGGAATCGGTTATATAATTATTCCACACGTTTTAAATTATCATTTGATTGGTTATATTGCTTTAATAATACCATTTCAATAAATAAGTAACCCCATCGAATCAAGCACATTTTATGCAGTGCATAAAGTTTTAAAGGAAAAAATAAGACATCTTACTTATATGTTGTTAGATGACGAGCATAACCAGCTAATTGTTCATCTATACCAGAACCGAGGAACAGAAACTAAAAAACAAGCAAAGGAAAACACTTCAGAATTATTTCGATGAATGATTAAAGTGATCATCATAAGGACCTAAAATCAATCGAAGTGTAAAGAAAATTAATTAACAACGAGATTCTCACAAAACCACGTCCATACAGTGGGTTCGTGAGCCTCGGAAAGTGGATTTTTGATTCAAATAAGCCTGTGAGTTTTACCGATTGAGGCTTCACCAACCTCAAGTGGATGGAACATAGCAACAAACCTGCAACACATAAATTAACGTGGTGAAATTAATTCAGTTAAGTTGAGATAGTGATGTAGTGAACAGAACACGGGTGGGGACAACCGAATGTATTTGACACAAAATTAGAGAGCATCTCAATAAAATCTGAGAACTATATATTAAATCGTTAATTTGCGAAATGTCCACCAATTGTCTCAAAATGACTCACACTTCATTGTTCTTACATTTTCATACAAATTGAATTCTATTCCCGCTCTTGCTTTCTTGATCTTCCCTCATCTTCTGCTGCCAGACATTACATTCCTGACTCGCATAATATACTACTTATATAAATATAAGTAGCACGCACCACAGTGGTTCTTAAAAAGTTTATGCTAATGCTTCAATTGAAGTCTCGGATTTCATGTGTCAAGTTAAAAAGAAAATATTACGAATTTCAATTGTTCTCACAAAATACATTTAAAAAATAACACCTGTAAAATAATTGAATAGATTATGGAAGACAAACATCCATAATTTAATACAATCAATTTTTAATTCTTCAATTTACTTTCTGACGTCTCAGAGACAAGCACAACAACACTAAGATGAACTCAGAATGGTCACATTCAAACAAGACATGCTTCAAACGGCTAAGTCGATATATGTGACAGAATTAAACACAGCGTGTGCACTAAATTCTATTCAGACTAGCCAACACAAAGCTAATTAACTGTAACTCCGTTCACCATGTTACCAAAAGATCGCAAAATAATTTTAGATTGAAATAATTTAGATTAAATCGATTTTGACTAAAAGAAAAAGTGGTGTGGCCACAAAAAATTTAATAATTTTTAATAGAATAGTAAACTTGAAATTCAGACTTTACAAAAACGGAAAACTATTGGGATATAAACGAAACTGAGTCGAAAAATTCATTGTTACAATACTATGACATAATTTAAGGATATATGTTTTTAAGAAAATTAAATATTAAACTTTAATTTCCTATAATTTATGTTATATAATGAATAGGCTTTTTTATGATATAGATGTTCATACACAGTAGTGTAATGTACGGATGATGTAGATCAGATCTACAGTTAAGAGAAAAGTAACTCTGGGAATACAGGGACATTGATTAATAAAATGTTAAAATTTATTGTAGTTACGATAGAAATGAATCCAAGTCATTTGCAATTTAGATTATTTGATTGACGTTTCTTAATTATGAACCAGTCGGAAATTTCTGGTACAGGATAAAATGTTACTGAACAAAAATGAAAACTACTATACAACAGATTCTTTGAACTAGCAAGATGAATGACAAAGATATAAAATAATATTGTGATATGGTTAACAGATAAATGTGGTTTTACCACGGTAAGATGATCACTGTAAACAATGTTAGACTAAAAATTTCTACTTACTTCTTCGTTCTCAGATAATCTGACAATGATAACGGTTGATTGGTAACAATAGTTATAAATTTAACTTAAGAACTCCCTCGCAAACCTGTCTACTTTGTATCGAGTGCGGCATCACTAACTCATTGGGTATACAATTGAAACAATTTCATTTTTTGTGACAACTGAATTTCACGCAACGACATGGACATTATTTTAAACATTTTGACCATAGTACAATATGATTGCAGGAAAATAGGTGAGAACCTTTATTTTAGTTTACACACAGTTTGCTCTTATATGATATGCCAAGTAAAAAAGACAAGATATAAACCAAAAATATAATGCAAAAGAAACCTAATAATCACTCTTAACACCGCTTTTATCGACTCCATATTAAAGACAGTAAATATTGCACAATACTAATTTGTCATAGATATAGGTCAACTTGTAACGAATATAATGTATTTATCATTAGCAAGAAGGATTTAGGAAACAACTAACAAAAGATTGTAAAAATATTCATTGAAATCATAACCAAAGTTAAAATCAGATAGTGATGAAGAAAATAAGAAATTGAAAAATCTGTACAAATCTTAGCATCTTTCTCACTAAATATTTTAGATAAGCTAAAATTTGCTGCCAAAAACCTAGGGCTCCAACTAACCCATCTTTACAAGACATATATGTATGATAGAATTGTTTACAAGTGTAAAAGTAGTACATGTAAATGAGATAAAAATACTATCGAGCGAATGATAACTGTTTTGATTTTTAATTAACCATTAAAACATTTATTTACGGTAAGGCTGTGAATTTTTGTAAGTCAACAGGACATAGGAACTTTCTTAAGATAATAATAACAAACAAATAAATAAAAGCAATAAAACAGTGGTTTTGCGATATAAAGTTATAAATAACCAAGCAAACCACAGAAGAGGGGGAATATGTTTCGTTCTAGTTTGCGTTTACGAAGTAATAGAGGTAAATGATTTCAAAAACCGCAGATCACTTGGACAGGAAGCTCAACTACACATGAGGTTTCAGTGCTGGGTTCCAGAGCAGAAATTACTATTATCCTTTTAAAAGTCAATGTTCAGTATAAAAACCCTAGACCTAACACGTCATCGTAAATCGGATGTCTCAGCTACAACTGTATGTAAACAGATTGATTGAGTTTAGCTATGAAGGTGAGAAAGACGTAAACGATTATTCCAGAAAAAAACTCAAACGAAACCAAAATGACTAATTAGCCACGCAAACTTTAGGTTCATTTGATTTAAAAAGAAGTTTTAATCGACTCAATAAAATTATCCTTAAATATCAATATAGTTAGTTAAATTATTTAGATAGGAAGAAACTGTAGTACTGAAACATTATTAACGTTTTTATCTTCGAAAAAATAAACACACCTTTGCTGACGAAGTGCATTTCTCTTCGAATTCACTTGAACTGTGTAAAACACCTTTTCCACGGGCTGCAAACCAAAGAGCTAAACCTAGACTATCATCTAAAACAGTTGTATGTTCTGGAAGCAGTAATGGCCATACATGTTTAACTCTAAATTAAATGGGAGAAAGAATGTATGAAAGAAAATTAAATCATCCGTTAAAATAATATGAAGATATTAGTAGAACAGCTGTTCAGTAAGTATTGTTTCTGAAATTCAAGCACTAGACCCTAAACATTTGAATGATGCTTCACTTACTGTGTTATAAAAACAAACTGAGAATGCTAGCACTTCTTCACATTTGATATAATGATAATACTGTCAGATAGATCAAGATATTAAAAAAATAATATATGTAAAGAAAAATATAGCACAACACAACACAATAGTAGAAGGAAATGAAATACAACAACGAAAAATTCAGATGTCAACACTTTTATATCTAAAAATTATTTTAAGTTCCATGCCTTTTCGCTTAAAATAGATGCTGGAAATAAAATTGGATAATTTTCACTATAAAAAGTAGATACACCACGAAGGAATTGAAAAGAGAATTAGAAGAAAACAAATGTGCATACAGTTAAGAAATAAACATGAAATTTTATTCGAGTTGGTAACAGAATAACATTAACACAACGTCGATTAATCAATTCATGTCATCTGGGGTTATGTATAAAGGACAGTTTGTTTAAATATACTATTCCCTTACTAACCTATCCCTGCATGTATAGTGAAAGATATCATAAGATGAACAAGAAGAGTAGTAAAAATTGGTGTAAAACTGAAAATAAGGTGTAACACTGGTTTAATGTAAGGAAATATCATACTATAGTGAGTAGTAAACGAAATTTATGGAATTAAAAGGAATATAACTATTCACCTTCAAAAATATGAACTCCAACAGCTCTTCTGACTAAAAGATAAAATGAGTTTGAATCAACCAACTAGTGTGTAAGATGCCAATAGAACTGAATCACTTTTCCCCACCTCCTTGAGTGAAGTTTATGATTTGATCGTCCACACAAGATTAGAACAGGTTTGTTGAGTATTCTGAAAGTTATGCAGAGGATCCTGAGCAGTATCTCTCAAAACACATGTAGGATTTCTATTCTATGTTCATTGAAAAAACTCAACCATTATAGTGAAATGAAGCAAACTTCGAAAGTTAAAACTTCTGATGAACAGGCTAGGAGATTCACCTAAACTAACTACAAATGTTAAGAAAATTCAATCTATCCAGCTTTACAACCTAAAATGGAAATCAAGTTAATGACACACTATGAAACTAATTCATATTTTACTATGCAGTTTAAATATTATATTTTGTAATAAAATTGTTTTTCACTTAAAACATACACTTTTGGAAATTGAAAATAATAAGTAAAAATGTGGTCATGTTTCTTCATATAAAATACATAAATGTTCAATTTATTCAAAGTCATTGTAATAGTTGATTAAGCAAAATATACTACTTAATTTCATCAACTAATTTTACTACTAAGACATGACTATATCTCTCAATTTTAAAACAAAGACGTTATTGAAGAATTGAGTAGAACCGCATTCAATACTTAATATCATGTATTTGAATAAGTTAAAATAGAAATTATACATTTTGATCGAAACCAAAAAATAAGGTTTCCTGAAATAGCTAATTTATCAATTAATAAATAAATTTCACTGAAACTGTCAATTATCTAAATTATTTTCAAAAGAAAAGCAAATTTAGAAATGAAAAACATAAACATCTCAGCAATAAATTTATTGAATGCAATTACTGATGGTTAAGAAAATTCAGTAAAACCAAATGAACACAATAATGTAGAAAGAAATCTAATAAATTATAATTAACTAAGTCAGAATAAGAGAGAATATCAAATTAAAAATAAATAATTTGCCAAAATTAACAATAGAATAAACATACACACAAATAAGAGCAAACTTATCTAGATTGTTCGGATTCACTTGCATAGTGAATGACTAAAGGCATGATCAATTCATCTATTCTAGTTTTCTTTTTTATGTAAAATGATAAATTTACTAATTAAATTTGGCGAGAAAAAGAAGTAAACAAGTCTCTATTCTAATATATATATATATATATATATATATATATATATATATATATATATATATATATATATATATATATATATACGTAAAGTTGAATATTATTTTCAACCATAGAGTTGAACACAAAGAAATTAAAAGGGATAGTCGCATTCAATTTGTTTATTTCCTGTTTTTCTTTATTGTTTTCACTTGAATAATTGATATTTGAATGACAGATTCCCTATGCGAATATAGAACTAATATGATTTGAAGTAAATACCATTGAAGAAATACATGGGAAAAGTTCATCCAGTCCCCTTCGTGTGTTCGATTGCATAGCACTGAACGAATCAATATTATTTATTATAATGAAATAAAATTATTTTCGAATATCTTCCTACATTTCTGAATAATTGTATCAATCGTTATTTTTTCTTTTTTGAAACAGATAAGATTGACAACTAGCAGATGTGTGGATGAAATATGAAACAGGGAAGTTAACTGAGAATCATATATATTTTTCGTTGTATAAATATAAGTTTTTCACAGGATACTAGTGTTGTTAATGAAAGCCATACATTTAGCTTAAAAGAATTCTCACATAGATTGAAGTTGATTTACATCATGCATTGATATAAACTGAGGAACTACTGAATTTTTCTGAAATATCCAACCACGACATAGTCAGGGACCGATAAAAGGAACTTCATGCATTCAAAAGATGGAAATCCCGCTAAATAGGAATATGAACTATTGAATTTTAACTAAGTTATTTAGCAATTAAGCGCTTCCCTTTGTCCTGAAAATTATAGATCCGATCTACCGCGAAGTATTGGATGTCTAATTGAAAGCCGTTGTCCGGTGCTCCCTGGTTCTTAATGGTTCCTCAGCTAACGTTGATCCGTGAAGAAAATCACATATACACAAATGTTGACCCTCAATAAACTTCACAGTTGACTTATCTCTTATCTTCATTATTCGCGAATAGATGATGCAGCTCTATGCAAAACTATTTTTATCATTTGTTTGCACAAATATCCGTAAAATATTCATAAGACTAAATATTTGGATGGTAAAGAAACAGATCACCAACTTTAACAACAAATATATTAAGAATTAAAACAAGAAAGGTTTATGTACATACAAATAAAGAAGTGTCGCAACATAGACAATTTTTAACTCAAAATAAAATAAACATGGGACAGTTTGTTAACCAACTCAAAATTATAAATTATTATTGAATAAGATCAGTACTTTTTTAAAAGGTTCTTTGGTAAACGATTTATGATTCTCAGTTAAAATAAAATCCAGTATATTTTGTCATTGTAGTAAAAATGTTATTACAGCTATCTAATCGAAATATACTATGCAGTAATCTTAAGATTCTAATCAACTGATATTCTAATGAAACTAATCTCACATAACATGATTACGGATTATTCCTCAAAACTGACTTAATCTTTCAGCATCATACATTACCAATGTAACGTTAAGAATTGTATAAAACCTACCTAGTCAAATTTAAACCATTAATGGTTAGTAGTAAATAATTGAATGTTTCTTTTAATTACTTTGATATTATCTACAAAATCTGTTAGGTTAACACCTCAATGCAAAACGACAAGTGAATAAGGTCAATAATGATATATAAGCATAAATAACACATATACTCTGTATTTTCTATGTGATTTACAATGAACAATTAAACAAGAGAAAAAAAATAATTATTTCAGCTAGAAAAAAAACTTCCAAGACAGTATGAAATCAGTTAGAGAAGAATAAAAAATCGAATAGCGATGGGAGTATTTGTTTATTTCCAGTTTGAGAATACACAGTAATGTACACTCACAACTACTGAAAGAGATCGGAAACATCTGTGTTGAAAGTAAATAGTTTATATTTTTACAAATCTGCCTCATGTTAATTGGATCATCAGTTGATATATATAAATGAAAACAGTCTTTAAAATCACCAAAGTGTCGTTAAATAATTATGTAGAAATCTCATTTTAATTCTGTTTAAGCGACTGAAATAAAACGAACACAACTATACAACTTTCCATTTAAGTAAATAAAACAAAGATTAGTATACAAAAAGTTCTAAATCCTATTGTTAATATAGGAAATTTAGTGATACTATTCAGATTCTACGACTGAATTAAGCGGGGAAAAGTTCGAAGTTGAGGCCCATTGACCTAGGTTTGATTCCTTCAATAAAAGAAACGACTGGGCTATTTAGTTTTTTACAAGAATCTGTAAATATTAGGCATCAAATAACAGTCATTAAAAGAAACGAATTAACGGAACCTTTGTATTCATTTGCTTAGATCAACAAACAATAACAATCATGAAAATTAAACGTATCAACAATAAGACAAAATTATGAAATTCATAAAGAATGTGAACTATTTTAATTTCAGTAATGAACCAATTCAGATTTTATGATAAGAAAAAAAAGGAGTGAGAAGTTGATTGAGTCAGTCAGTCAGCTACAACGTAGAACCAGGCATATATATTCATCGGTACAAGTTGCCATACCTCATTAGCACAACAAGATGAATACCGAATTCATAAAGTAGTTACTTCAATGGTAGTAATATATAAAAGAACGATTGCATATAAGGATATAGTACAGGGAGAAAGGATTAGTTGGTAGAAAGAAAGATATAAAGCAATCTTAACCTCATAGTGTAAGGGAAGACAGAGAGTGCATACACCTACACCATTGTGACCGATTCTGAACAATGTCACCCCGAGTCTTTAATCATTGATTACGATAGTCACGTGGACCTCAACCAAGTAGTCTGCATCTACCAACATGGCTAAGACTAGAAGTTAGTGACTTCAAGCACTGACGTCACGTTTTGGTTTGACCGTCCCTAACTTTCTTTCAACCATCCCCAACACTAGTCAGCATTACGCGTGGTGGTAATCGGTGTTCAGGCATACGTAACACGTGGCCCAACCATCTCAGTCGATGAAGATTCACAACCTCACCAACTGATTTACCATCATTCCTTAATACCCTGCGTCTAACCTCAGCAGACGCCAGCAATATTTCTAAGGCATCTGTGGTCAAATACTAGTAGCTTACGAGTGTCTTCTACTCTTAATGGCCATGTTTCGCTGCCGTAAATTAAAACAGAACGGACTGCCGCGCAGTATACTCATCCCTTAATTGATAGACGGATATCTCATCTTCTCCATAGGTTATGTGGGTTGTCAAAAGCCAAACGAGCTTTTTCAATTCGTGCAGAGATTTCCTCAGACATTAACCCATCAGGTCTGATCAGACTTCTAATCTAAGTGAAGTTGTCAACGCGTACGACTACTTCACTCCTTATCCTTAGTTCAGGTGTTGACGCGGACCAATCCTGAAGCAACAACTTGCATTTAGAGGGAGAGAAGCGAATTCCAAACATTCTGGCATTGTTGCTCAGTGCTACCAAAAGACTCTGCATTTTATCAGCGTCTTCACCAAACACAACTATTTCATCTGCGTATTTTAGGTCGATAAGTGGACCTCCTGGAAGGAGGTCAATACTCGAGAATTCAGTAGACGAGAATGTTATTTCCATCAGTAGGTCTATGAAGAAGTTAAATAAAAATGGAGAAAGTGGACAGCCTTGACGGACATTTGTTGAGGTTGCGAAAGCAGATGACAGTTCTTCATATGCCCTGACTCGACTACTGGTGTTCGAGTAAAGAGCCTTCACAAGGTTTATGTAATTTAAATGCGAACAGTTTGAAACAGATGAGAATTTTCTTAAGCAAATACTGCTGAAGAAAAAAAACCATATTGATAATATAATGCAACGAAAAAAGCACAAATAATGAGGCATAATTAAGTTACATAATTATATTTTATCACAGGAAATAAATGCGTATTACTGATCCTTTTCCTAACGCTTGACTGACTGAGTAATAATCAAATAGTATTAGACTATGTATTATCAGAATGAAATGAAATATAGGGGTGGATATTCAATGAATTAAACTTGCTTAACATCTAATATTCAGCCACAGACAATTTATACGTCTATCTGCTCAAACTTCTAGGACGTATTTAGAAAAATGAATTTATAACCATAAATTTCCCCGTTTTACACTTATTTCAATTAACTAATTAGATCTGTCAGCTGCTTGTGCCTACGCATTTCCATGAAATGTTCACTTTATCGCGAATTTAACAACTGAGAAGTATCATCATAGCTTTTTGAATATTTTTATTCTCTTCCATCCTTCTTAGAAAAGAATAGCAATCACTACATAACTCATAAATTAAGCATATTAGTTGTTACAACACTGATTGTAAACATTTATGGATATATATATATATATATATATATATATATATATATATATATATATATATATATATATATATTGAATATCCGTTTACTGCGTAAAAAGGAGGAATTTTTTACACATTTTGAAGTAAGAATTTTTTACTCATATCAAATATATCGTAATAAATAAAGAGTATATTAGTACTACTATTATCAGCAGTGGAGACAATCGAATGTATTTGACTCAAAATTACAGGGCTTGTTAATAAAATCTAACAATCATAAAGTAAATGCCTAATTTGCAAAATGTCCATCAATTGTCTCAAAATGACTCAGACTTCATTGTTCTTGCATTTTCATACAAATTGCATACTGTTTCCATTCTTTACTGTTCGATCCTCTTGTCTCTCTACTGCCAGACATTCTGTTCACGACTAACATCATATACTACTTAAGTCAATATAAGCATCACACACCACAATATTAGTATTATTTAGTAAAGACAGATGAAACCAATTCAAGTAATAATTATTCTTACTACACATTATGAAAAACTGACATCTCTGAGTATCATATAGAAAGTAGAGATGATAATGTTAAGCCAGATAACTTAGGTAGTTTTATATCAACTGTGTCTTATGCTAGAATACAAGTAATAAGAATTTAAAAAATGACAGCCCAAAGATTACATTATTGTCAGTCGTTTCGCAAAATTAGATGAGAAACATGGTTCAACACTTCACGTTACTCAAGAGCATATTTACACCATAATTATATACTATAGACAGTATCATTCAATAAAAACGACCATTCAAAGCATCCGAAATTTTTATTAAATTCCAGATTTCCCCTGTTCCCGGTCTAATTATGATAGCATTGTATCAGTTAAACAAAAAAGCAAATGAATTCTCAGTATCGAATAGAGTCGACGAACAATGAATATTTAACAATATAAATGAATAAATTTATGATTTAAAATAAAAATTAGTTAATATTTAAGATTTCACTCAAAGATAGTAGTAACGCAAATGATAATAACAGTGTAGGAACTATTCAGTAAAACTTTTGCAAATAAAATTACAATAGTGATGATCTATAAAATCAGATTTGATACCCAGCAAAACAATGAGACAAAATGGAATATGATAAAATGTGACAGAAATACACTGTAAACAATAATAATAATAATAATAATAATAATAATAATAATAATAACAATAATAATAATAATAATACTGTATCTGTAAACAAACTCAATTCTCATCTGGGTAATATACTGATTATATTACAAGAATATGAAGAATAAGTTATGCACACTATCCACACCTAGATTACGGCTTTAAAGTTAGGGAGAAAAAGGGAAAACAATAATAGAATCAGACTATAATAAAAAGGTTATGTTTATCAAATAACTGCCAGTCAAAGGAACTATTAACAGGTTTACAATAAAAGTTACATATAAGTAACAATATATATAAAAGCTCAATGTAGCATATATATCATACAATATTAAGAAATTGTTTAGCAGAAACGTCAGATAAATGTAAGCTTTCTTGAAAAAATATTTATTTAAGACTTAAGTATCAGAGTCGATAAAGTTAAGGTAAATTTACGGAGTCAAGACACACTAAAGGGAGAATTTAAAAAAGAAGTAGAAATTAATATGCACAACTCGATATAGCTTTTGTTTCTGTGACCGTTTTACTGTAGAAGAAACATCAAATAAATTGCTAGAATATAGCTATCGTCCACCTAACAATGAAATCATTAACCAAGAATGAATGTATTGGGTTTTCATCTATTTCTTTTCAGGTGAGGGTTAGTAATAATACCCGGCCACATAAACTGAAGTTCGGAATTCCCAAAATTGATTTGTGAAAAAATAGGATTAAACGAAAAGCAAGCCTACTCTATGCGAAAATTATCAAACGCAGAAAATAGTCAAATTTCCAACGTATATCCAGCACAAAAAGTGCTGATCACAACACTGGCTCGTTTTACGGGCAAATATAGAAAATAGTTTGATTAATGTGAGAAACGAGGGTATTCGTTATATGCCTCATATTATTGGTCTTGAGATTTAACGTGTATTTAATAACAAAGCCATACATAATCGAGGAGTTCTGAAAACCTTGATGATTCGACCACCTCGAAAATCTCCAGAACGATACAAAACAGCTGTTTGGTGTTTGCTAACCTGAACTTGTTATACTCCTGACGGAATACCTGACAGTTTATCAAATCGTAAACAAATAGTACAGCGATCAGCTGCTATTATTTGGTAGTGAGAAGCAAATGTTAATCATAGATGTTCGATCGCAGGTATATTCTGAAGTGCTTCTATTCTGTGATGAGATCATCAAGTAGCAATAGATACATAACTGACTAAATAGATGAGCCATATATGAATAGAAACATGAATATAAACTACAAATCAGCAGTTTCATCATTTTCTCGTCATGTACCAAATTAAAACGTACTACGAGCTTTATTAGCTCAACAACAAAAAGAAACTTAAAATGATAATAACGATAATAATAACAGTAAAAATGTATGGACAATAAGATTATGTAGCAGAAAGGAAACAATTTTTAAAAAGGCTACATCAAATATCACTAGTGACACTAATGGTTACAATAGTAAAAATAATGTTGATGAACTAACCTGGCCTCTGAAATCTCACTGACATTTACATTAATCTAAAAATAGAAAAACAAAATAACAATGAGATAACCTAAAATAAATATTAAAAATAACTGGTCAGATTAAATTATCCACTACCTATACAATCGAAACGTTTCATCAGTAATAAATAATACAATTGAGTAACCATACACAGGTTAGTGTGCTTAGCTGTGAGGCGCACTATTTTTATAAGATCTAATGATACTATCCCCTAAATCTAACTCAGGTAGATGAATAAGGTTCTAAACATAAGACCTAAGTAATTTACTAACCATTACCAATTAACTGGGATTCAACTATGGCTTCAGAACTTAAGTGCTATTAATAAAACTGATTACAGTGTACTTCAAGTAAAAACAGATACCGCAAAAAATATGTAGTGGAATTTAGATTATGTACATTGTAAAGAATGATCAAGTGAAAATGCCAGCTCAAAATAATCTTCAGCCATTCAGAACATGACTATAAGATACTAACACAAATCCTCCGATGATTCTTGAAAAAACGAAAACTAAACGAGGATAAGTACTGTTACGGGAGAATAACTAACAATGAAAAACAACTGTTGAATGATGTAACGTCAACTTGTGTCAACGATGTCATTATCAACACTGAGATTCCCATAAACAGTATCAGAAAAACACAGTGATAATAAAAGATGAAAGTTATACACCGAAAAACAAAAAACTCTTACAATACTATATAATAATTAGCTGAAAGACGGAAAATCTGCCACAGCGAACTGTTTCACCTCCAACAGTTGAAATAATGCAAAGAGAAAAAAAGAATTTTAATAAGTAACTCATGTAGCTACTAATCAAATAACAATCTACAAATATTTGTAGCATGTCGGCAGTGTATTCAAGAACCAAAGATATTCAGCATATTGTTCGTCTAACAATATATTAGCGTAGACAGACTGTACAAACATTAGTTCATTAGTAGTCTACTTTTAAATGATACTTTGTAACAAACTGACTACGAAAAATAAAATAAAATATAACATTTTTCTAAGTAGATTAATCCAAATCCATTCACATCATGAATAAAACTTATAAATCAGTATGAAATGCACGAAGACAAATAGTGTATGATATAGTGAAGAAAGTTAAAAGAAAAATAACTGCAGAGACATATACAGAAAATGAGATTAAATTATACAATATGAAATCTTGGAAAGTAAAAACAAGCCATTAATGTATTATGATTATTATTTGTTATCACAAAAATAAGTAAATTCTGAAAATTGGACATCCTCTACCATGTATTATTCAGATCAAAAATTATATCTTTGTAAGTAGATTATAAAATATGAAAAAGAGTAGATCTAGTAAAGAATATCTCTCCTAAATTATGATAATGATGATGATAACACTTTATTCACTAGAAAACTGTATCATTTTGAAATTATCTTTGAAATATATACAATATTTGAAAATAAACACAATCCATTAAACAATATCTAGGTTTTTTATCTCTAGTAAACAAACATGTATTCCATTAATTAGTTAAGTGAATTTTAGATATTAGTTCAATGTGAATAATGTATTTAGAATTAATTTATCCCAGTTGAGCAATTATTGAATATCAAGGAACACTGAACATTTGTTTGAAATCATTTTGAGAAGTAATGTAAATGCGAATCCAGGACCGGTTAAGGATTGGTTTATTAGTAAGTGAAAAATTCAACATTTTCAAGTGCAGCTACTTTTTATCTAGTCGCTAAACAAGAGTCTAAAGATGTTCGTAAGAATCATGTTGGGTTTTCAATTAATTAAACGTTACTAAATAGGGAACAACAAAAATTTTAATAAATGAATGGAACTATGGTTTATGAATACATTACAATTCTATTTAAAACTGGACAGATAGATGTAAAGGTCAAATTCTACCACAGACTAAATGTGGAAGAAAATAAAACTCATAAGAACTTCATTATAACTCTGGGACACATTCAAAAAGAGAAAACTAATTATACTCCTTGACTGACAAAAATCGGTTAACTACAGTGGATTGAAAAAAACACCATAAATTCGGCAATGAATTCTTAAAGAACACATAAACGTAAAAGGATGATAATGCAACTTTTCTAATAACGTACAATATACATTTGGACAAAGCAATGAAACAAAATCAGTTTTGATTCTAAAAGAATTATCAATAGCAAAACAAAAATTATTTTAAGATATCTTTCGACATACACTTGTCTAAGGAATGTAAAATCATAATGAAAACAGGTAAAAAAAAGAAAGTAAAAATGCAATATGCACTTTCAGATAGGTATTACAGTTTTAACGTACCTATCCATGTTATTTCATTCAAGTTATTATTTACCAGTGAAACGTCTCATTTCAATACACTTCTAATAATCTTCATAGGAAAATTATTAAATTGTAAGATGTTAATTACATGCTTTTGTTCTTTTTGTTTGTCCTATTTCGATTGGTTATTTATTCTCTGAAGAAGTGGTTCACACTGAGTCACGAAATCTAATTTTTCTACTCATTGGGATATTACAAATATATTATTTTATTTGTAACAATCTACCCAATGCTGAATTTACTCAAAATCATAAGTCAAACCTTGGTAATGAAACCTTTTGACGAGATTATTCATCAGCTTCATCGAAACTTCAATTGATGATTATTGTATCACTGAAAGCTAAGCAGAGTAATAAACAAAATTCAATTCAGCACATATTTAATCTAAATATTAAATCTATCAAAATGGGATTTATTTATGATATCAGTATCAATCAATAACTAGGATTTAAAGGTGTATCTGCTAACAACAGAATACTGTGTTATTACAATCAAATCAATCCATGATCTGTTACGGATAGTATTAAAACCCAATTTATTGATTCGAAAACTGAAACAGTAACTAAAGAATTAGGAAACCGTTATTTTGACAATTTAATATATAATTTTAAAAATTTCACTGATCGAAATCATGAGTCAATTGGAACTAAACCACCATGGATCGTGGATGTGCACTGCTGAGGTGTCCCATACTAGGAAGAAACGGCCGTTCAGTGCTTCCAGGTTTTCCATGGTGGTCTAGCTTTAATTGACTCATGATTTCAATCAGCGAAATTTCTAAAATCTCCACAAAAACCCTTCTGATATAATTTTAAGCCAAGAGTTTTGTATAATAAGAATAATAAGAGAAAATATTCATAATTTCCAATATATAAGTAGTAAATTACCAGTTAATTAGAATAGATAAATTAATATAATAAAAAAACGATAAATAAATAAACAACCACACAAGTCGAACATATAAGAAAAGAACATCAACGAAAGCCATTAACAGAATAATGGCAACAATGACAACAATCATAGGGACGAAAACACGATTGAATGACGAAAACTTAATTAAATACACTAAATATGCTTCTGTGACATCAAAAGGCAATAATAACACTATGAACATTGTGTTTTTCCCTTAGTTGTTTGTATACTTCTTCATTTGTTACGTAAATAAGTATAAACAACAATAATTAAAAAAGAAAACAAAGTAGAAAAAACAGCGAAAAATATTTATGCCGAACATAAGAATAAATTACAAACTAAGCAAAGATCATTTATAGGGTCTAATAAACTGGCAAGAGACCATAAGTGGTCAGTAGCTTGTAAGTTGTTATAACATGAAAGTGTGATATTAATTGACAATTATTGTACAACCCTTGAACGTCCAAAAATTAACAAACATTCAACACATCCTTCAAACTCAAAACGAAATTAAAACTAATAAATAATGCTTTTACATAAATGTGATTAACCAACAATCTAGTTTCACAAATCATACAACAAAAGTAAATTATTCTGGAAATCGAAATCCACAGAAGTTGTTGACAGACTAATCACTGAATAGATTTAAATGAAATAAGAAAAATTTTAATTACATAAAAAAGAAACCTTAAGTTTTTCAATTTCAAAATGTAATGCAGTGATGTACATTATGAAGAAATTCTGAGTCCAATTCCTAGGAATAACGTTAGGGATTTATTCAAACAAAGGAAGAAAAAAATGGATTATATGAGTTAGAACCAACTAATTCTGAGATAATACACAAGAAAAATAAGTGCTCATGTGAGCAGAGATAGACTACGACAGATTAAACGAACTAAGAGGTAAATGATCTGTAGAATTTTGCAGACTGTTTCTACATGCTGCTTAGTACAGTCTTAACAGCTCAATATTAACACTGATTTTATTTGATAGACAATTTCGGTAAGGCAGCGAATGATAGGAAATATCATGAAAAGAATAAATGAGTTATTTATCATCCAATCGCTCAATAATTTAATTTGAAATGAATTAAGTAACAATAGATGATTTGTATTATTGAATGCCTCTAAGTAAACTGTTATACATCCATCGAACCGAATCTTATTGATGACTAGCATGCTAACACTTTGTCATTTTATCGTGATCACTGATATACGATACGACAAATTTCATAAAAACAAACTGCACTGAGTGCGAATTTCTCCTCAAATCGGCTAGTCAAAGAATAACTGGGTTCAAACACTTTACCGATCGAATATATCTAGAAAGATTCGCGTTACATAGCTAACTGAAAGAGCAAAAGGATGAACATACTAGCGGAGCAAATTCATTTCTTTATGAATGCGTATGGATATAAATGATAACATGTTCATGCAGTTATACTCAAGGTAGGACCTGAGATATAAACACATTGGTGTAAATTATCAAACTTCATTAGCACAGCGAGATGAAATTGTCAGGACGAAAATCCTACAGTAGTAAAGATACTAGTAGTATTAATAACAAAGGAAAAAATGGGCGTCAAAGATACTCTTTTTAATAGAAAATACAGATTAATGGGATAAAAAATACAAAGTGATTCAAGAAATTAGAGTTTAAATAAAGACAAAGAGTGAATGCACCTGCTCCATTTAGGATAATTTTGAGTCATATCACTCGATCTTTAACCACTGATTATGATAATCACAAAAACCCCAAACAAGTAGTCTTCATTTAGCTAT